CACACACACACACACACACACACACACACACACACGACCAAGAACTTTTAAACATGATGAACTTCAGTTAACGTGCACGAGTTTATGTTTCGCAGACACACTGTTCCTTTTCACATAAAAGCACCGATTGATGCAACAATGTCAGAAGATCAAAAACCTGTTTGTCATGACTCATAAGTCCTCATCCATAAAAATACACTTTCAGAAGCACACAAAACTTTTACAACCCTACCACCCAACCTGCTATATTGCACTGACAAATTAATACACAGCACAAGATTCTGTTTCTACTTTTTTTGTGGTTATGATTGTCAGCGGGTTGTTTCTGTAAGAGAGGCCGATGCACAGAAGAACTTAGATTTTCTGTCATGTGTGGAGAAGCAGGACTGAAGCGCAAAGAAGCAGATTCAGATTTCATGAAGCGCCCTGAGATGAATTTTGTTGTGAACTGGAGCTATATAAATAGAATGAATTAAACTAGCAGCTAGACAAAACTATAGTAGGTAAAGACAGTGAACTAGAGAAGGAGACTGAGGAGTAATTACTGTATCAGATAAAGATGAGTTGACTGCAGATAACACAATATCGCCACACTGAGCAAACTTGCACAGCAGAAGATGGCAAAGGTTTTCCTCCACACGCCCTTCATGACACAACCTGAGCTGAGTTATAACTGGGTTAAAACACATCTGCATTCCAATAATTGTCAAACATAGGAAAGTCTTTAAAATCAATTATACATAAATAGTGCACAATGTTACAATTAAAATGCTAATTTAATACAAAACACACACAAAATATATTTTACTCGTTCCAAGTGGGGGATTCTTTTGATTGACATGCTTGTTGGCATTGTTTTTGTCTCTTTGTGGTTCCAGCAGTGCAATTTTTAGCATGACAGATACGAAATAAATAAGGAATCTAACTGGTGTCGGCCCACAAACCTCCCAAGAATGTCTAAATCATAACCTGACAAAAGCCTTTAACAGCTACTTATTTTCAAAGGTTAACTCAAAGTAATTTTATTGTTCTTGTGAGCAGACATTAGGTTACAACATGTAGAGACAAGATGGAGAATAATAAGTAGTAAGATGTAACAACAAGTCAGGAGATTTATGAGAATTGAGGAATGAGAGTTTTTCTAAGGACTTGTGCTGGCCCAACAACTTGTTTTGTATTTATGGAGGAATTTGTTGGAGGTGTGCTCTGATGAAGCGTTTTTGTACAAATAACAAATTAATAAAATGGTTAAATGCAAGTTCATACTGTTTTGGCTTTCTCTGAAGAGCAGGCAACCAAAATATGATAATGAATCTTGAGCTACGTATGTTTTTAAAAAAAGTTAATAAAATTGTTGTTTTTTTGTTGTTTGTAAAAAAAAAAAAGTTTGATTTTCTGCTGATTTCAAACTAAAAGTCTTTCTAATTTTGTTCCCAGGTACGCCAGAGGCGCTGGAGGAAAAGGAGCGCCAGCTCTCCACCCTGATTGGTCAGCTCATCAGTCTGAGGGAGCAGCTTCTTTCTGCTCATGACGAGCAGAAAAAGATGGCCTCCTCACAGCTGGAGAAGCAGAGGCAGCAGATGGAGCTGGCCAGGCAACAGCAGGACCAGGTAGGAACGGGCCGAGGACGGGTTTTGTGAGAACGCGCCTGCTGATGAACTAAAATAACTGTTTAGTTAGAAGAAACGAGATGGTAAACTGAAAAAACAAGAACCAAGGTGGTTTCATTTTTTGAATGCTGTTAACCATCCCACCAATCATGTCACTGTATGTGACAGTGGCAGATAACAGACAATGTTTATAGGTGTGGCCAGACTGGGACCACTGTACACACAGGGGTGGCCCATCAAATGACTTTTTTTCCCTACATGACAATTTGCTGAGGATTTAATCACATTTCATGGTTTTTCTCTCATGTATTACAACAGCCAGTGACTACCATGTAGAATTACCTATTGAAGCAGTGCAGTTGAAATGAATATTACCTTATACAAATGGCTTTACCAAAAATCTCTGGCAAAATGGCGGTTGGGGTGGTCACTGAGGTGGCCAAAGATTTTTTTATTATTTTTTTGGTGGCCCCCTGCCCCCACCCCAGGTATGTTGTATTATTTTCTGGCTGGATAACATCCAGAAGGTAACTCCATCATTTTCATCAAAGGTTTTATCTGTTGTATTTTGGTGTGAAATATACTAAAAACTAGTAATAAATACCCAACATATTAAAATAAAACAATGTAGGATTTGCGCCCACATTGGTCAGTAGAATTAAAAAAAACTTTGGCCATAAAAGGTCGTAGATTGCCTTCTAGAAAGATCCCAAAACATCAATCATCATCATATTAAAAAAAGCTTTATGTTTAATTATTCCTTTTTTCAAGTAAACCCTGTGCTTTATATTGAGTTAAGTTTGACAAGAAAAAACATTTGAAAGAGCACTTGGCCCAGAGTTAGTCAGTTTTATTACCTCTGCCAAAGGAGGAGGTAATGTTTTCAGTCACGTATGTCTGTCGGTCGGCCTGTGGACAAAATTACTAAAAAACTTATGGACGGATTTTCATGAAATTTTCACCACAAGTAGGTACTGGCCAAAGGAACACACCATTAAATTTTGGTGATGATCCGGTTCACGATCCGGACCCAGGAACAGCCAATCAGCTTCAAGGAAGCTGACCGTAGACTTCCAATCACATCGGATCATTCGTGGACGGGTCAACCCCCCGACTGTAGACATCCAATGGGATTGCCTGAAGCGGTGTAGACCAATCACAAAGGTGCATGGAAATAAAACTTTAGACCAAATTGTTTTTAAATTAAAAAACTTACTGTTTGAAGCTACTTTAATGTAACAACAGATCATTTTCATAATACATCGCCCTGCGCGTCCTAACAATTTTATATTTTGTGTTTACATTTTAGCTGTTTTTTTCCCCCACCTGTATCGGAGAGGTAAGCTAGCTAACTCACCACCCCCCGTTCAGGTCTGTTATCCAATAGATAACGCTAAGGTTTTCTTAAACAATTATGTTCATTCTGTTTTTTATGGCTAAATGTGTTCTTTTTTCTGATGCTGTTCCACTCTTTCTGTTGCATGTGATTTATTACGTGTTTAGTCATTGTAAAGCACTTGTACACAAACACACGTATGACTAAAAATGTAATAAATCGCACACAAAACAAACACACACACTCACACACAAACATACGGCCTTGGCGGAGGTTTGCGCTCTCCGAGTGCTTCTAGTTTATCACTACATCGCTAATCATCATGTGATTATTTGATATATCTACAATCATGAAAATCTTGTGACGCTAATTTTCAACAAAAAAAAACTACTTTCCTTTAAAGAGTAAAGAGTCTTATGTTGCATAAAAGTTTGAGAACAACAGTTTTGATGCATGTGTGAATCTTCACGTCTCCAAGTGAAACAACAAGATGTTGGTGAAGGAGGGGAAGACCCTGAAGCGGAGAGGTGTTTAGGTGCTCTGCTCTTTGTTTCTGCTGTGTGTCGACATGTCACCATGGGCTGCCGTACGACAGGCTGTGTTTGGACAAGTCCACATCTCCCATCAAAACACATACCACCTTTCACGGCTTTACAAAGGAGGCAGGCGAGATGGAGAGAGTGAAAAGAAAGACAGATTCCAATATCAGCCAGTCATTTGGCTGTTGAGACTTGATAGGATAATGCCCTACAGACAAACCCAGAAAAAATTTGCCTTTAATGAAATATGACATGTGTGCAAATGGGGCGCCGCCTCCCATTCAGCAGCCTGTAATTACATTTTGGAATAAATACACTAAATGACTCCTCAAGAAAAAAAAAAACAAAAGAAAAATGAAAAGCAAATGCCTGATGTTTTTTTTTTTTTTGTGAAAAACGGCTCAGATAAATGGCATGATGCACCTTTAAAGATTTTTACAACTGGCTGGCCCTCGTTCATTTCTATATGAGACGTTATCATGATTTGAACTTGACAATGCACTCTGGTGAAAACCGCAACTGGAGCAAGAGATAAGAGCAGTGCTTGTTTATTATGTGTGTGGCTCAAGTTCAGAGGAGAGTTGGAGTAAAGATGTTAATTTGTAAGATTCATTTTCAGTTATAAAATGTGTTCTTTGGCACTCCTGACCTTGCAATTAGGACTCATCATTCATCTTAATTTGCTGAAGTGTTTTTTAGATAAAATAATCTGACAGCTGTCTGACAAAAAAACAAACATTTTTTAGTCAAATCTGGTGGTTAAACTGAACTGTTGGTTCAGGTGGTAAACCTATAATTTGCTTGTTTTCAGTTTAGATGATTTACCTTTTATAGGGTTTCAACGATTGCAGTTTTCTGGCTGATCACCAGTCTTTAAAAAATCTGAATTTCCGATCACGATTTTGGCCGATAGAGATTTTTTGAATAACATACACTGTCAGGTGTTATAAACCTTCAATGTTCCAATCTTATTTTACTGAAAAACTTTGAACAATACAAACTTGTTTTAGCTGGACATTAGGTAGAGTTCACATCAGAGCTAAAGGGGACAGTGGCTGATTTTCAGACCTTTTTAGAGGTAAATGAGAAGCTGATCTTTTCCGCCGATCTTATCTAAGTATTGACCGATCTCCTAAAATTAAGGAAATCTGTGCCGATAAATTGGCGATTTCTCTGATTTATAAATATGTTATCATATTCAAATCATATCATCCATTTTTTAAAATGAATTATTTTTACATGCCTTTTACAATATATGGAAGCATTTTGCTGCCAGAAAAACACAGAAAAAGTGTAATTGTTTTATGTTGTAATGTCTGAAGATGAATGTTCTAACAATATGTTCTTCATAAAGTGAGTTTTTTATTATTTTTTACCAAGTAATATTTACAGTATAACCAAAATATTCACATTATCCTAAAACAACTTGTATTTAATGTGAAAACAAACTATTCAAACCTTGAAAAGTTTTCATTTTAACCTAGTATTATTGTTTTTTTTTTCTTCATTTTTTAATGTTATAACAATGTTTTCATTTTTTTACTACAAAATTAACCTGCTGTAAAAAAGTAAATCACTTTACCACAACCTTTTACCTTTCTTTGTTTTTGTGTTTTTTTTCTGGATTGGCAGCAACATGCTTCTGTATGTTCAAGGTCAAGAATGATTGCCCTGTTTTTTTTTTCACACAGCAACACTACTTGTTCTCATTATCATTTTAACCTCATCAGCTTTGTTTGTGTTTGTGCAGATTGCTCGACAACAGCAGCAGCTCCTGCAGCAACAGCACAAGATCAACATTCTCCAGCAACAAATCCAGGTTAGTAATAATGTGTCCTGTGTGATTTCAGAATAGCAACACAAGGGGTCATGAGCTTTTGTTTAGTTGACACACACAGGATCACACACAGTGGTGACTCATCAATTTCCCTGATTATGCCCGGATTGTTCAACGTTGCATTGACAACTTAGAAACCCCAGAATCCTCCAGTCTCATGTACTTGTTGCCTTTTTATATTTAAAATTGTCAACTTTTCTGCTTAAAAAATAAAATCTTTATAAGTCACCCATTACATGCCAAGCTGAGGATTAAATCAAAATTGGTCAAAATGACCTGAGCATGTTTTCAGATTCATGGCATTTTGAGCTACATTTTGATACCTGGATCATCCTGAATACGTGAGCAGCTCCAAAGATATGTGGCTTGATTTGTTTTCCTTAAATAAGATAACCCATTTAGGTTTTGTCTGAATCCCATTTTTAGGACATCCTTGTAAAGAGGGTACCTCAAATAGTACTTAGATATTGAAATGTACCAGCTGGAAAGAAAAAAAATTGCTAGCTCACAGGGGAAAAATAATTTAGAGCTTTTTGCCAAAAATCACATTTTTTGTTGCTACTGCTTCAAAAAGTGTTTCAGTTTTTTTTAAAAAAAAAAAGATTAAATTTTAGACATTTCCTTCAAATATTCCATTGATAAGGTATTTATTCAGTATATCTTGACAAAGTGCAGTAATTGCAAAAGTTTTAACCAACATTTTCTTTTTCTTTACAAATCACTTTGTGACCTAATCCTCGTCTGATGTGATGGGGTCACATATTACATCCCGTACATTTAAATCAAATGTTCCTTTTACTAATTTTTTCCTTTTTTTCTTTTACTTTTTATGTCTTATTCTACGTCTCAGGCTTCCATCTGTCTCATTGAGCTGCTCTGTGCGCTTAGATTTATTATCACTGTATATACGTACAGACCCACGGAGAAATTACCACCAGCTGGGAGCCAAATGCTGGCAAATTTGCACGCTGTGGCTGATAGCCACGTGGGAATTTTGCCTGTACGTAATTGATCAGTTTATTTTTATTTAATTAAATTTTTGTTTTAAGTGGTTAGACTACTGCTAAGTTGAATCAGCTTAGGGTAGGATCTGAAAACACTTGGCGCTGGGATCAGTCCAGCCTCGTATCCAGTTTACCCCCCATCGTTCCCGAGCGTTGGATCTCCCTGCGCTCTGGAGGTGTGATGAAGTTAATGAGGGTTTGTTTGTTTTTTTCCCTCCCTCGCTCCTTAGTTTTTCTTTTCTGTTCGTTTTGTGAGACCCCACCCTTAGCTCTTAATAAAGCTCGGATCGGACTTCATTAGGATTCTTAGGCCCGGGGGGAGAGAGTGAAACCATAAAACCCTGGATCCTGCTCGGATCCTCTTCCATGCTGTGAAGCACTGGATACTGTGTCGTGTTTGGTTTTGAGGATGAAGGGATGTGTGGAAAAACATACCTCTTGAGAGCAGCTCGTTATCATGTAGAACTTGGGAAATGTCAGCCGTAAATGCACGCTAAAACCAACTCAAAGTAGCTCTTGATTCACACTTATCATTCAAATTGAAATCCAAACATTTGCAGCTAATGCACTTTTCTGCTAAGAAACGGTGCAGTGTGAAACACTTATCAAGCCGAGAACAGAACATATGTTTTCACTAAAACGACGCTAGAAGAATGTGTGAGGTTTGCAGCAACTTTTCATCATTTAAGTACTTTTCAGAACAATAGCATGTCTTGGCAAACACACCACACTTAGCAAAAAGCATATGGTGTATCTACTATACAGAGGTTTAGAATTATTCTGGCTAAGCTCCAGGGTTTAGTCACTGGGGTACGGGCTGTTTACGCTGTGTCGGATGTGTATTGGCTTTAAACACACAGGCAGCGCTGCACCGGTCTGTTTCTACTTATCAGTTCCAGACTCCAGCTCCTCTCAGGCCAACACTCTGAGGAGCTGACCAAATGCTACTGTTTCAGCTGAGAAGAATGGGCCTCAGTGCAGCAAAAACTACTCCTTTTTTTTTTACTAAAAGTGCCAGTTGTTGTTCACATCTTATTTGAAAAAAAAAAAAGTTGTCCAGATGGAACAAATAAGAAATCCACAGTTTTCACCTTAAAACTTGAATAGTTGCAGTTTTAAGTTCTTTTTTTATGCATGCGCTTATTTGTTGCATCATCACGGCAAAAAAACTATCCAAGCTTTAGTAGATAGTCATCGTTTTTTTGTGCTTGAACGTTCGAGTTTATAGATCAGCACTAAAATGTGAAAACTTTATGAATGCAGCCTATAAAAAAAAATAAATAAAAATAGCTGGAGCCAATTTTTATGGGTGTTTTTTTATTGCATTGTTCTTTTCCTGCTTCAGTCACTGGATGGTGTCAATGTGTTTGTCAGCTCATGTGGATGGTGGGGGGGTGGGGGTAGTTCAAAGTGACCCACGTTTCCTGTCATGTGGTTTTAAATGGTGTGGAGAGACAGCAGGGGATGTCCAGGGGTTAAAGAAATGCTTCCGAAGGCCTCAGTCTGATAGATATTGTTACAAACACGCACGCTGCTCACATAAAAGAGAGAACGCAAACAGTGAAACCATCAGAGCGCTTTATCTTTTCATAGAGACACATTTTACAGTCCCACACACTCAGTTATATGTTCCTCCACTTAACACATTCAAACCATCTAAAAAATAGACAGTTGACAGTAACAGATAATCACACACATATGTATAATTCACAACACACACACATACACACGAGTGGAAATACTCCGGCACGGGCCCGCTCACACGAACGCAGTGGTGGCGGTCCCTTTGTGTGCCGTACGCAGAGCGGCCCAGCCCAGCCTGGTGGCTGACAGGCATGTGTCTTTGTTAAGTCAGTTCTTATAATGGCTCTCATATGTGGCCCATTTCCTTCAGGCCCACAAAGACGCAGGCCCTAACCGCACCGCCCGGGCCCTAGCTAACAGGCTAATTAATGACTGCAAAGCCGCACTCCTCCTCCTCCTCCTCCCTCGCTCTGTTCTTCATTTATAACTCCTCCGTCTCCTCCTTCGCCCGCCCCTCCTCTTTCTTCGCTGTCTCGTTCCTTAATTGTTACCTTTTATCGTTTTGCTTTTATTTAATCTCTGTGTTTAAAGGGTTTCATACACTTGCCGTGTTCTGTTCGACTGTTCCGAGGAATCTGACAAACAATTCGGACCTCGTCTTCGAACGCAGAACCAGCAGTGTAAAGGAACTAAATGAGTTGTTAATTTATTAGCCCTGATAGCTTATTTTCCTCTCTCGTCTCGTTCAGCTGTTTTTTACAGCCTGAACTGGAGCCAAAAGCTTTTTTTTTTTTTCTCCCGTCAGGGTACCAGACAGGCTCCAGCTCAACACTCCACACACTCACAAATGTGCAGAACTACTGAGCGGCCAAGAGGCTGTTAGATGGATAGGCAGCTCCTACGTCAGCACTACAGCTTCAGACAAAATAAGTAGTAATGGAAAGCCCATAATGTCGATTGAGCTCATAGCAGCTGCACAATGGACAGTTGCTGACTTAAAACAGAGACCTCCGGATAGAGTTCTGAGGTGAAAAATATACCTTAATGTAGTTTTGATTTGGTACAGTAGAATAAAATAGTTGTTTGAGTAAACTTTTTTTTTTCATTTGGAGGGCCCTTTTCCAGTAGAAAGCCTTTCAGCTGTTTTTCCTTTCATCAGAGCCACCAGACGCCTTTGACAAAAACTGTAATTTTACCTTGCAGAACAAGTTTCAGGCCTACCTTGATCTGCTTTAGTGTTTTTACACGTTAGTTTGGATCTGCAAAAACAAGTCAAAACACCAAAGCCGCACAATGTCATTTCCAAACCAGCTCACAAAGGCAGTGGTAGACTTTGTCTGCAGGATACAATTACAGATTTTGTCAAAGGACTTTTGTTTTTTTTTTCCAAGGGGGTAAAGCAACACAGTAGCACCTGAAGTGCTACCTTCACACACCGAACACGGGAGCAAACATTCCAATCAGATCTAATATGGGGTTATGGGATAGCTTGTTTCACACCTACAATTTGTTCAAAATACTGTATTTTGATGGTCTGAAAAATTATTGCAAGTTTATGTTACAAATATCAATAAAAGCCTGCAATGAAAACAGGGCCAGGTTGTGTATTTGTGCTAAATAAACAAAATTATTTCAGAAAAAAATAAAACTAAATGCAACATTTAAAGCATAGTAACACTGAGTTAAAGTTGCATTATTGTTCTTAGTTTAGTTCATACATACATACATACATACATACATACATACATACATACATACAT